ATATGAATGAAAAGGGGAAAATGAATAGATCACAAGGTCGGTTTTATCATCGTCATACTTCATTCTAAGGACAGAGTGAGATGGATCATATTCAGGACCTTTTCACCCAATACCTAGCATAAAACCTGACGAGTTCGTCTCCCTCCCACTTGACGGGAGTGTTCATGCGAAAGGCCTTATAATTAAGGTGCCCACAATTATAGAGTTTCTGGAAAAGAGATGATTCTGGCTGAACTCTACAGAGATTTTGACACACTTCCAGGGAACATTTATACGACCTGAAAGGGTTCAATTCATAAACCAAACTACCTATTGCCTTTTTGGAAAAGGGATATGCAAAAAAAATGTTTAGGGGCCCATCGACAAAACGGTTGACGATTTTTGGAGAATGATATGGCAGGAGAAGTGTAAAAGTATAATAATGTTATGCAATGTGATGGAACGAGGCAAACAAAAGTGCGAGCAATACTGGCCACTTACACCCAATGAGCCGGTACCTAAAGACTTAATTTCATTATTATTCTGGCCTTCATTAACATTTTTTCGAGATGAGACTTCGAAGTGGACTGACATTAAGGTTTGTCTCAATGGATGCAGTAGAAAAAAGCGTAAAGCTAACAAAAATTCTATTAACAACTTCGAGCGGAGTGAGTCTTGTCTTATAAGTCCTCAGTCCTTATATTATGAAAAGATACAATTAGGCACAACACATGGTCGAGCACTTTCACTGGACTGATTGGCCTGATCGAGGAGTGCCCAACACAACTACGCTCGCGATTTTTCGAATGCTTTGTAGGGTAAATCGCTTGATACCATGTGTTGTGCACTGTTCTGCTGGAATTGGACGGACAGGGACGGTAGTTGGCATTGACATGCTTTATCGCAAGCTAGAAAGAGGCGATAAAGACGTGAGTGGACCTCCCATCTATGAAAGAACGATATTTAAGCTGTTTCAGGCATCACTTCTTCAAGTAGTTGAAGATTTGCGAGAAATGAGACATGGAGCTGTACAAATGGATGCGCAATTTCTCTATATGCATCGCATTCTACTCGTAGTAGCAGAAAATCTTAATGTAAGAAAGGATTCACAATACTATAGAGAAAAAAATTTGATTTTCGTTTAGATTATCACTCCAGAAGAAACACAGAAATTCAACCAAGACTACGATAATTTCCTTAAAAAATGCGGTTTCCTCTAACGAATGCTTACTTGAAGAATTTTCATGAACGAAACGACAATGTATACAATTAATTTGCATTAAATTATGCGTATGACCTCGTTAATGTGATTTTCCTTCAATTAATAAAAAGACTATTTTTCTTT